AAAGGCCTCTGAACAGTGTATTATTTTTGAAAAGTCCACGCTCCTATTCGGAAAGCAAATCCCAGAGGAACTGAAACAACAAATTAAAGACACTCTAGGTATTGAGAATGAAGGTGGAATGGATAAATATCTTGGTATCCCAGTAGACATTAGTGGTTAAAAATGCAAGCTCTTTGCTTTCATAAAGGATAAACTAGATCACATGATCAGTGGCTGGAATGGCAAATGGCTGCCTAGGGTGGAAAGGAAGTGCTGATCAAAGCGATTGCACTGGCCCTTCCAACTTATGTTATGTCAATCTTTCTACTGCCTCTGTTGATCTGTGACAAACTAGCAAGTGCCATTGCACGCTTCTGGTGGAGTTCAAATCCACCTAATAGAGGAATGCATTAGGCGAAATGGGAAAAACTATGTTGTCCAAGGGAAGAAGGTGGAATGGGTTTTCGACTGATTCATGAATTCAACCTAGCCCTGTTAGCGAAACAATTGTGGAGACTGATTCAATTTTTGGACTTTCTTGTTACAAGAGTGTTACGAGGAAGGTACCATGTACTTGTTCGATACTCAAATCAACGGTTTCTGTAATACCCTCGTACATATGAACAAGCCTGATGGAAGCAAGGCCATTACTATTTTTAGGGATTCATCAGAATGTCCACTCTGGATACCAAATTAATGTATGGGAGGATCCATGGATTCCTACGGTCCCTACACGACCTGTTACACCGGTGGCATCAGTGGTTCATTCGAGGATGATAGTATCTCAATAATTTATTCATGGGATACCAAAAGTTTGGAACGTGGAGATGATCCAGAGATGTGTCGCACAACAGGATATCCCTATGATTATGAGAATGGCCATTAGTCAAAACACACAAAGAGGATAAGTATACCTGGAGTTATACGAGAAGTGGCATGTATACTGTTAAATCGGGATATTGCGTTGCAAGAAACATCCTATATCAAGTGCCAGAAATTGTGGTATCTGAACTCAGTATAAAGAAATTACAAGCTCAAGCATGGAAGCTAAATGCCCCTCAGAAAATAAAACATCTACTCTGGCAGATATCATCGGGATATTTAGCGGTAACACGGAATCTAACACACCGTCATATGCGATGTGCCAATCAATGCCCAAGATGTGGAGAGGAGGATGAATTTGTCAACCATGCAATTTTTGAATGCCCCCCCCAGCTCTACAGACTTGGGCCCATGCCAGTACACCATAGTCGCCGAATCTATTTCCAATCTCTAGTGTCTACACTAACCTGAATTACTTATTCTGGAGGAAGAATGCAATTGAAGATCCAATCCTTGACAGAGACCCATATTCCTGGATAATCTGGTATCTCTGGAAGGCAAGGAATGATAAGTTGTTCAGGGGAATCACGAGAGACCCACTAAAACTGGTTAGGTATGCAGAGAGTGAATGTAATGCCGGGGTTGAAGCCAATTTTCCAAGTACGGAGCCAGTAACACACCAACCACAGAGCACACAAGCCATAAGCTTACAAAATATGTACCTACTCGATGGATCATGTACTGCGGAATCACCTTTCAGTGGATATGGGTGGGTATACTTGGATGGTTCCGGAGGGCAGCAACTCATGGGGTTGAGGAATATTGAGAGACGCCTGTCTCCAATCCATTCTGAGCTGGGAGCTCTCAAATGGGCAATGGAGAACATGATAAAATATAATGGATGTCAGCACTTTGGAACGGTGTGCAAGGACGTGGTAGAAATGATAAAGGATCCCAAAGCGTGGCCAGGCTTTGCAACAGAGCTTCTGGAGATTCGGAGACTTCAAGACCAGCTACAAGACTTCAAGATCTTACACATCCCGAGGACTCGTAACAAGGCTGCAGATGCCCTAGTCCGGACTGCTAGAGCTTTTCATAGGAATCTTGTTTTTGTTGGTTGTTTTATCCCGGTCTGGGTTCTCAGACCACCTCTAGTTTGAGTGATGTAACAACCGTTTGTCAAAAAAAAAAAAAAACTCTTTTATGTGCGTGTACAGGAAAATCATGTATTTTTACTTTTACATAGTAAATCAAAACATCTTTTTCATTTCTAATTTTTTTACATGCGGCGACTAAAAGCGATCTGAAGAGTATGCTTGTGAATCTGAGTTGGCGCAGAGAGAAGAGTAAATCGGCAAATTTCTCGTGTTGTGAGAGATAATGTTTAGACAGCATGGATTTCCGCATAGCTATAAATTTATGGCGAGGTGATTGCAATACTATAGATAAATAATAAACATATGTTCAGTTTGATTGAATAGCATAAAGATATATCTACTATGATTCACTGCCATGGATTAACGAGAAATTAATCTGAAACATTGTTTGTTATACAGATATGGTGGGAACAGTCTTCGACGGGTCACGAAACAATCAGACAATTGTTTGTTATTTGAAATTAATGTTATGGGATTCGATGTGTATCCTTAAAAAAAGTGAAGTTTGCATATTTGACTTTGTGTTTGCTGTGGTTTAGACCACTGAAGTTTCTGGAGAGGGTGAAGACGATGAAATATTATACTATACTATACGAACAACAAGGATAGTGTGGTACTTCAATACAAGCAATTGGCAGAGTCCTAGGTCTGGAAAATTATGCTTATGGAATCTTATACGTTTTTTTTCTACACCAGTTGTTATCACGTCAATTAGTTACATGTTGTATGTGTCCATTATATACTACATTGCTTATAGTTTAGAATGGGGTCAACTGTTTTCAAAATTGATGGATGGAGATGTTTCTTATGTATTGTCAATGGAAGTTTGCCTTACAGTAATTCTCTCCATGTGTGAAACGTGCGTCCTCCTCTAATTGCATTTAGCTATGTAGATGAAATTGTTTTCTTCCATATGAAATAGTCATGTTCAATATTATTGTTTATATGGTATAGTTCAATTTTTTTTGCAGATTTTATGTATTATCTTTATTGTATTACACATTCATTTATATTGTCGCCTTACACTTTCTATGTATGTTTTTCCAGTTACAACTTCACGTTATGTTAATATTATCCATTTATGAAAGAATATCATTGTTGCCGATCCATCACCCCTCCATTTTCGATTGTATTTGTGTGCAAACACCATACCAATATCAACGATTCTACGTTGTTTTGGTGCTCTAACTTGACAAGTCCATTCTATATTATAGCTTGTATAGTATAGAATGCTTGCAGCCATTCTCAAAAACGCGGCTGTATTATCTAGTGCATGCCTCCATTCGTGTTAGTAAGGTTCACCTATGGCTTATTGCTACCTTTTATAATCTTCATGTTATGCGACTTGAGCCAACATTTTGAACTACTTGTTATTTCGTCCATATCCAGTGCACTTTCATATTATAGTAAATAATGTACAGTGCTGAATTTAATGTTGTGTAAGCTACTGATGTACGTGCATAGACCTTGAGTTAATTGAACTGTCTATACTATACTATATTGTTTATAGTATAATAGGGTCAATAGTTTTAGAACATGCTGGATAAAGAGGTTTCTTATATATCATCAATGGAAAACTACCTGATGTTAATCTTTCCATGGTGAAACGTGCAGCCTCCTCTAATTGCATCCAACTATGTAGATGAACTTGAATTTTGCTTCATTTCATATTATACAGTCCCTTTTTATACTTTTTTAATATGGTATAGTTTAATGTTTTTATAGTTTTTCTATATTTTTTTCATTGTATCACACTTTCATGTACATGGGCCATTTCGCTTTATGTGTATTTAATTGGCAGTTGTATCTTGATGTTATTTTCATGTCTAAGGAGAATCTAAGGTTAACTCATATAATACTCATTTGTGAAAGATCATCGTTATTGGTGCACCAACACCCCAATTCGAATCTATTTGTGTGCACATGGCATACCAATAACATAAATGTTATGTTCTTAATGATGTGTAATTTGACCGGACTGTTCAATACAATACCTCACATAGTATAGAATTTTTGTAACCATTTACAAAATTACATGCATATGCGGTTTATTATCTCGCGCATACCTCTGCTAGCATGGTTGTAAGATTCACCTCCAGCATGCTGCCTAGTTTGTATAGGCTCCATGTTTATAAATAGAACCAACTTTTTATTTAATTGTTATTCTTTGAAGTCTATATACATTACCTATGTCCTATACTATATTCAATATAGTATAATTCTTGGTTTGATGTCTTGTAAGCTACTGACTTACATGCATTTACTTTTAATATACAACTCTTCAATGTGCGTTTAAAACCAATAGAATTACATGTTATCCTATATCATAGGGATTATGCGAGGTCACTTTCTACTATGATACGAAAAATTGATGGGAATTTAGCTGGATTCTAATTACGTTTATATTTATGTTATGATAGAAATTTGACAGATTATATATATGCCATAGATTTAGTACAAAAGAATGGAACACATGGTTTTATCTTCTTATATTCATGTGTTTAGAGAGAGAGAGAAAGAGAAATTTGTTGGTCTAATTGTCCTATCCATTGTTTGATACTATTTGATGGTTATATTCTTAATTGTTAAACTTTATATGAATATTGAGAAAATTGACCCAAAAAAAAAATCATCAAACTTGTCAAACTTATGCTCAGTCAAAAGAGAAATTTTTTTTACAGAAAATATGACCACATTATTCAGATCACGAAACAATATTTTAAATTCTTATATTTTTACAGCAGTTTTGAATTTGTTATTAGATTTTTTTCTTAACTCGTTTTTCTTTCTAGGTTAGATAGAATAGACTAACAATGCATAGGCATTAGAAATTTATTGAACTTCTCTTGGTCAGCTTCATACTTTTCAAAGTAGTGCATTTGAAAATTATACTTGAGAAAGAAAAATTGATCAAAGTTACATTTTCAAAAACTAAAATACAGGAAAAACGTATGTACAGAAAAAAAAAAAGAAGACGCAAACTGTGGAATAGATACGTTTCGAAAACGTATATAAATCAAAGCTGTCGCATACAGAAATCATACCAACTACTTTGTGTAATAAAACATGGAAAGCTCTCGACTATTTTCAACCATCTTGTTCGTGTACTCAATCATCTTATCGATATGCTCAATCAACTGCACAGAGAATAATAACAATCTCGTCACAAACCAAGCTGCTTTGTTCGTGTTCGGAGATTCGCTATTCGATGCCGGAAACAACAACTACATCAATACTACCACCCGATCCAATTTCTTTCCATATGGTCAAACCTTTTTCAAGTTTCCCACCGGAAGAGTCTCGGACGGACGTTTGATTACCGATTTCATCGGTAACAGGAAAAAAAAAATATAGATACATATATTTTTACTAATTTTAGTTTCTTTAAGATTTTATAACACAATTTTTTAAACAGCTGAGAAGGCATGGTTACCGTTGATCCCACCAAATCTACAACCAGGTAACAGTATCAGTCAGTTGACCTATGGAGTTAATTTTGCTTCTGCTGGTGCTGGAGCTTTGGTCGAAACCTTTCCCGGAACGGTAAGACTAATTTTTACTAATTTTAGTTTTACTAATCCATTTATGTCAAAAGATATCGTTAAAAAAAAAGATATCGTTTTAGTATTATGTTCTTTCTTTTATATTAGCTAAAATATTGTATTCTGCTTTTTTTTTTCGTTTGAATAGTATCTTTCAAGCGAATAATAACTAAAAATCAGTCTTTACAAAAGTTAATTTTTTATTTTCTTTATCTATTGCATTTTTTATATAATTTTGTATTAATCACAAATTATGACTAAATACTAAATGTTTGTGCTAAAAAGTTACACTGAAATTTTTTAAACAAATATTTATTCTGAAATAGAAAATATAAGTTTACAAAAAACAAAAATATATTATTAACTTAAACTTGAAATAAGAATAGTAGATATAAGATACAAGTACATATATATTATCATATAACCGTTAATACAGTTAGGCTAACTCTCTCTATTTTATTCTTAAAACGTTCTAGGTGATAGATTTGGGAACACAGTTAAATAGCTTCAAGAACGTTGAAAGGAGCTTGAGATCTGCATTAGGAGATGCAGAGGCCAAGAAGATTTTCTCAAGAGCTGTTTACATGTTTAGTATCGGAAGCAATGATTTATTTTTTCCATTAGTGGCAAACTCTTCACTTTTCCAGTCCAATACCAAAGAGAAATTCGTTGATTTTATTATTGGTAACACGACATCCGTGCTCGAGGTAAAACTCAAACCAACAAACTGATCTCAAGTTTTTTTTTTTGGACAAAAAACTGATCTCAAGTTTATTACCCGTTTTTTTGTCTATACAACGAGAGGTTGGCTCCTTTGTACCCCGGTTTCACACCATATTAAGTACAGTAGATTTTTGTTTAAATAAGAATGATCAATGGTTAACTCCAAGCCTGCTAAAGATTATGAGCCGAAATTTCCAGTTTAACGAAATAAAATAAGAAGAGATATATGTTTTGTCTCCAGGAAGTGTATAAAATGGGAGGAAGGAAGTTTGGATTCTTTAATATGGGAGCATACGAGTGTGCACCACCCTCGTTGATCTTAGACCCAACAAACATAGGATCTTGTTCCAAACCAGTCGCTGAGCTAATAGATTTGCACAACAAGAAGTTTCCTGTTGCTTTAAGGCAACTACAACGTGAACTTTCCGGATTCAGATATGCCCTTCACGACTATCACACTTCTTTGTTGGAAAGAATCAACAATCCTTCTAAATACGGTAACTAAAGTTACATGGTACTTACATTTATATAAGAGATTGATCTGTAGTAGCTTTTTGAAAGTTTTTCGTTATTTTGTTTGTTTTGAAGGGTTTAAAGTAGGGCAGATGGGATGTTGTGGAAGTGGACCATTTAGAGGAATCAATACTTGTGGAGGACGAATGGGACAAAGTTACGAAATATGCGAAAATATTAACGATTACTTGTTTTTCGATTCCTCTCATTTGACAGAGAAGGCTAATCGACAGTTCGCAGAGCTGATTTGGAGTGGACCACCTAATGTCACTGGACCTTATAATCTCAAAGCTTTATTTGAGCTTAATTAAATTACCGATGCATATTTATGAAAATAAAGATGAGATTGCTATATAAGTATCTCATCTTATAAGCATGTTGATAATACATCTTCTGTTGAAAATAATAATAATAAGATTGATCAATCCTATGAGATATCTTAATAACCTATGTTACATGGAAATGAAAACGGTTGCGCCGAAGATTGATCAATCCACACAATTTATTTTTAAATAACATTTTAGAGCTTTATATAATTTTATATAAATTTACATTATTTCACAAAATTTCATTTAGAATAAAAATAAAACACTTGTAAATTCTTAAGAAAATATTTTCTTTTTTTTTTAAATTAAGATTTTGAATTTTTCCTGTACTTAAAAAAAAAGCTTTTTGTAAAACTTACATTTAAAACAAAAATTTTATTTTAAGGATATTGTTTTTATTAAATTCAATTTTAGAACTTTTTCTATAATTTTCTAATTTTATTTAGGTTTTTATTGTTAATTGTATTTATTTATTAAATAAAATAAAAAATCAACATGTGATTTACTATTGCAGGTTAACAAGTCACAATTTTAACTTGATGAACAAGTAAGCTAAATTGAAAGTTTTTTTGTGATACAAAAGTCAAGTTGAATGTTTAATATGATAGTTAAATACGTTGAAGGTTTAAATTGCTAGTGAATGCCAATTTGAAGGTTTTTTATGTTATTTTTCCTTTAAATATATATGCTATCTCTACTAACACTACAGTGTATAAAGATATTTAATAGTATCAGTTTTAGTATTTGCATATTTCTATTTTTCATTTTAATATATTAAATATTAGATTTTATATAAAAGTATGATTTTATATTTTTAGTTTTTCATAATATCGTGTTTTTAATAATGGAAGCGCGATTCCAAAATGGAAGCATCAGCTTCTAACGTGTTTTTATTTAGATTATTTCAGAATCATGTTGAAAGCGAGATTCCGATTCAAATTCCGATTCCGAACGGGAAACGGATGTCTGATGAAGCTTCCGTGCAATATAGTTAATAACAAAAGGCTTTCATACTTCAGTTGGTAACCCGGAATTGGCATAACTTTTTAACGGAGATAATAAAAGTTCGAAAGACTAAATAAACATTTCCATTTTTTCAACTTTTCATATTTTCCTCGCTTGGAAAAACAACGACCGACCAGTTACCTAAGAATGCTAGATTGAAAGCCTCAAGTTTGAAAAATAAAATAACATGTTTGTGTATATAAAACTAGTTTATTAGAGAACATGTTTACTAAGCAGAACACTTTGCACGAGAGCTAGCAAATCTGATTCATATCAAATTGGCAACCCGCTAAAATCTGTACAAATATAGTCTATTGATTCAGAAGAAAAAGATTACCCCACGTGGATGGAATCATCAAGAATCTCAAGCAATTATAGAAAATTGTTAGTCTTCAAAATCATTTCAATTATGTATTGAATTGTTTTGTGAACAAACTTGTTTATTGATATGGTTTCATATGATCAAACATGCATGGCCATTTAGAAAGTCTGTTGAACTTATCTTGGTCCACCTTACACTTTTCCTTCTATAAGACAACATGTACATTTCGTTTTAAAGTCGTGTATTTGAAAATTCTCTTTGTTTGAGAAGAACAACTTGAACACAATAATGTTGGGATTGCGGAAGTCCATGTCAAACTCTATATTTTCATATTAGTACGATATTATCCACTATAGGCCTCAAAAGCTGACCCGCATAGATTTACTTTTGGTTTTCTTTCCAAAATGCCTCGTACTATTAGAGTTGGACTTCTCTTTATATATTAGACATTCCTTGTCTAATTCTCCAATGTGGGACTATGTTTATTATATCACATTCTCCCTCTTAAACTAAGAACCACATTCATCTCGTATACTTTGTCCTTCAGCGAATCATCTGGCTCCATTTGTTTTTAGCACGACCTCCTTCTTTTACTTGAAGGATCCCTATTCCTACTTCAAGGGTATTTTGGTCTCTCTTGCAGATCTTCGTCAAACCACTTTGATACCAAATGTCCAACTCTATATTTTCATATTAGTACACGATATTGTTCACTATGGGTCTCAAAGGCTGGCCCGCAAAGATTTACTTTTGGTTTCCTTTCCAAAAGACCTCCTACTATTACAATTGGACTTCTCTTTATATATTAGACCTGGTCTAATTCTCCAATGTGCGAGTTTGTTTATTATCTCACAAATAATATTTCCACAAAACAATATTTAAAAAGAAAAATAATGGAACAAAAACGTTTGGAAAACATATATATATATATATATAACTGTCACATACAGAATACATATCGAATACTTTTGTGTTCCTGATAAATTATGGAAAGCTCTCGACTATTTTCGATCATCTTGTTTCTCTACACAACAGTCTTATCGATAAGCTCAATCAACTGCACAGAGAATAACAATCTCATCACAAACCAAGCTGCTTTGTTCGTGTTCGGAGATTCTCTGTTCGATGCAGGAAACTACAAATACATCAATAGCTCTTCAGCTTTCCAGTCAAATTTCTTTCCGTACGGTCAAACAACTTTCAAGTTTCCAACCGGAAGAGTCTCTGACGGACGCTTAATTACCGATTTCATCGGTAACAAAAATACATATATTTACTTACTCATTTTTAATTTCAAGAAATTTATAACACTAATGTGTTTAACTGATCGCTAACGTGACAGCTGAAAACGCATGGTTACCATTGATCCCACCAAATCTACAACCAAGCAACGGTAACAGTCAATTTACCTATGGAGCTAATTTTGCTTATGGCGGTGCTGGGGCTTTGGTGGAAACCAATCCCGGAATGGTAATATCATCAATTTTTGTTATTCTCACTATTTCAATATATATCGTTTTACTTGTTCGTTCTTTCATCTCTTTTACCCTCTCCCGGAATGATATCTTTTTCTTTTATGCCTTTTGGAATGAAAAAAGTTAATAGGAATAGAAAAAAGTGCTTAAGTTTTTGAAAAGAAGAAAAATTTGGAAGAAGAAAACATTTTAGTGTTTAGAAGATTCTTTTATAATTTGGATAATACAAACTGAGAAGGGAGTGGATGTATTTATAGTCTTTAAAACACAAAATAATTTAAAATATTTTAATAAACTTGTAATTCTACTACAAAATGGTTAAGCAAATATAAAAGAGCAAGGAAGTTGATCTTCACAACAAAGAGTCAAATACCATCTATTGTCACCATGGCTTTGATTGAAAAACAATTTAAATTCTTAAAAGAAAAGAATATATAAAGTAAATATGCATTGAATTTTAAAGAAATGTTTGCTCTGGAACAGAATATATAGTAAACAAATAAACAGTGTAAATTGAAATAGAGAGAATAGACATTAAGATACATGTACATATATTATTACGTAACATAACCAATGTTATATATCTATTAACCGTTTTTTTTGCTTAACCATTCAAGGTGAGAGATTTGGGAACACAGTTAAATAGCTTCAAGAACGTTGTAAGGAGCTTGAAATCTGCATTAGGAGAGGCAGAGGCCAATAAGATATTCTCGCGAGCTGTTTATCTGTTCAACATCGGAGGCAACGACTTAGTTTATCCCTTAGTTGCAAACTCTTCACTTTTCCAATCCAATACCAAAGAAAATTTCGTTGATTTTGTTATTGGTAACACGACATCCGTGGTCAAGGTAAAACTAAAACCGAAAACTGATCTCATGTTTATTAAGAAAAGAATGTATATGTTTCATTTCTCATCAGGAAGTGTATAAAATCGGAGGAAGGAAGTACGGATTCTTGAATATGGGAGCATACGAATGTGCACCAGCCATATCGATCTTAGACACTACAAACATAGGATCATGTTCCAAACCAGTCGCTGAGCTGATATATTTGTACAACAAGAAGTTTCCAGATGCTTTAAGGCGGCTACAACGTGAACTTTCCGGATTCAGATATGCCCTTCATGACTATCACACTTCTTTGTTGGAAAGAATCAACAATCCTTCTAAATACGGTAACTAAAGTTACATAGTTATTACAAATTACATATATGTAAGATCTTTAATAGCTTTGTGAAAATTTTGTGTTTTGTTTGTTTGTTTTGAAGGGTTTAAGGTAGGGAATATGGGATGTTGTGGAAGCGGACCATTTAGAGGAATCAATACTTGTGGAAACCGAATGGGACAAAGTTATGAATTATGTGAAAATATTAACGATTACCTGTTTTTCGATTCCTCTCACTTGACTGAGAAGGCTCATCGTCAAATCGCAGAGCTGATATGGAGCGGACCGCCTAATGTCACTCGACCTTATAATCTCAAAACTTTATTTCAACTTAATTAAAATGGCTGATGTATGTCTATGAAAATAAAGATGAGTTAAATGATATATGGTGTATGAATTAAATGATACTGCTTCATCCTGCACCTACTCCGCCGGCCAAAACAATCAGGGCCAGTCTAATTTTCTCAAAAACCTTGTAATGTCCTAGCCTCAAATACAAATTTATGCTTTGAATTCATTTTCTCAAAAACTATAAAGATTTTTTAACATTTTCTTGTTAATTCATGTATATTAGTCAATATCGAAGCTACGAAATGAAATTTATAATTTAATTAGTGATATTTATGATGTTACCAATATTCATGTTTATTAAAGTTTCTAGCTAATTTGAGAAAATTCTGTGGAAGTCTTCTAAGTTAGTTTTTGTAGACTTGTTAATTAATTTTAAGAATATCAAGTCATAGTTTAGTGTGTTTTCTTTGATCATAAGATATATATTTTTAACTATATGCATAGAAAAATCCAAAAAAAATTGAAAAAAATCTAAAAGAAACAAAAACAAGCATTAATTAGGTTGCATCATTTGCATCTTTAGGATTGAGTCTAAAAGCATTTAGATTACATTCATGCATTAGGAGCTGACCTAATAAAAAACACTTGCTTAGAACTCAAATTACACACCTAGCTGATCATAGCAAGTAGCTTAAGCATCTCTTACAAAGCTTGCATACTTTGAGCCTTGAAAAATTTTCTTGAAATTTGTTGCTTGTGTGAGATTGACATTTTTCTTTAAAACCAACTCCAAATGAACTTAAAGCTAAATGAACTTAATCTTTCTTGGTTATGGGCACTTGCATACTTGATCATGGGTTATACACATGTGGGTTTTACTTATCCTTTCTACCACTCTTTATAAAACCCAAATGGCACTTCCACACCTTTAAACCCTTACC